TAGTGTGCGATCGGTTAGACACCAAGGTGGTCTAATTTAGGGCTGGTTGTAGCTATTTGAGGAACTACTGTATAGATGCAAGCCTCAGACCCTGCGGGTTCCACCCACACACGCACACATGCGGCCTCACACTCGACCGACTGCCGATGTTAAAAAATAAAGGCAGGAAAGTGGAGGTACAGGCGTCCTTCTACTGGTAAGAGATTTAAAAAGAAAGCAAAAGCAAAAAGGGGCTTTATTTCTGTGGGGTGTTCGTTGTGATGATCAGGGTTTTGCTTAGCATTGTAACAGCGAGCTAATGTGTTTATTGGCTCAAAAGGTTTGAGATCAGTGGATTTTGGGGCTGCCTAGGGCTTCATGGCTTGCAGACACTGGGTCTTAGATGTTGCATGTTACTGCAGTGGACTCTTGTGCCTCAGTGGTCCACTGGAGGAATGGGTACAGGCATCTTGGCCAGGACTAGCCTACAAGTCAGCAGTTATTGCAGCAGTGAGACAGGGAACTAAGCAAACAAGGCTTTTCCTTTTCCTGCAGTGTTTTAAGGTCACGACGGTTTAAGGTTTTAGGTGGTTCATCTTCCTGAATGCTTCCTCGTGGGATGCTCTTACCAACACCATCCAATGGACGACTTGATTAGATCATCTTTAGGCAAATGGAGAACCTCCCTATGTCAGGAATTTCAGGCTAGGAAAGTCTGCAAATCCAGAAAGGTATTGAAGCAGTCACCAGATCTGAAAGTATTTTGAGGCGTGGGTCCGTCCAAAGCATTATCTCAATCATCCGACAAGTGACCCAATACCGAAGTCATTGCAAAATGCAAAGATGGCACTTAAACCAGGGCAAAACACCAACTGCACAGTCACTCCAGCACGTGGCATGCACTTTTTCTATGTTTTATATAAAAGTGTTTGTAAAAAAAAAAATGCTCCAGGACTCTGTGGCTGTATAAATATTATGTGTCTTGCTTATCTCCAAAAGTACTGGAGTGGGGAAGCTGCCAATATGGAGCTCTGGAAATCTGTGCCACCTCCTTCATCTAACACCAAAGGACAAAACTGTCAAAGAGCCCTCACCAGTCTGCATGAATATGATTTTGTGGTACAATCCTGAACAGGAGCATTTAAATGCATGCAAACCCCCTGATTTGCTTGTAGGAACCAGTTTGCACATCTGAGATTCTGGGCACATGTGAACTTGTGCATGGAAAACAGCACAATCAGATGATAGTAATTGTACTTAGGAAGATGTTTCCTTCCCCCACCAAAGGGCTTTAGGTCTTATGCACCAAGTAGGAGCTTGCTGACAAAAGCAGGATGCGGCCCCACGCAAGAGATGGAGTCAGGGGCTGGGTGGGCTCCTTTGCCGATATGGCTCTTGGGTTTTGTTATGGAGGAGATGCAATATTTCTAAATATCAAGGGATCCAGATAGGCTTCAGATTAGTAGGCTGTTTACTTGTTAATTCTCTGACCTGTAAGATCAAGACTGCACTTTATGAAGGTGTCCTTCAGCCTATAAATAGGCAGTAAGGAGTTTGTTATATACCTAGTTATATTCTAGCTCCTGGCGTTATGGGATGACCAAGACAGTCTAGGATTGTGCAGTGAGAAGTCAACTGGAAGGAAACAGAGTTTGGGGTAGGTTATATCTTGACCTACAGGCTAGATGGCTAGGTCTAGATCTAACTTCTCCTGAAGTTATAGAGAGATTGGAGTGGGATCACGTTCTAGGAAATCGTGGTCTTGCTGATTGCAAACTGGCCCAGCTTCCTTCTATGCAATATTATCTACAGTGTCATGGGCAATAAATATGGAGAAGACACCTTTGTGAGAGCAGAACAGGCTACCAGAAGGAAACCTCCCATCCACCGAAAACTTCACTAAGAAAACATCTGTCCATTGGGAAGGGGATGCAGCTGAGGGTGAAGTGGTGCCCATTCACTATGAAGGTTAAATGATGCCTTCGGTTGCTCAATGACTTGGTTAGCAAAAGGACTAGATGCAGGTGGGCACCAAAAGGCCTTAACAACCAGACAGGTAGATCACTGTGCACAATAAGTCTTCGTTAAGAAAAGCAACGTACAACTCATGGATCAGGGCAGAAGTAGCTTTAACGGTTCATTAGCATCCATCCAGGAGGGGCAATTTTCAATGCTTAAGACTCAGGCGACCATAATTCCTTTGAAGCCGATGACGTTTCACTGATCCAGGTCTGACTGGGAGTTTATGAGATGGCTCCAAGGGTGGGAACGGAGCCATTCTGTGGCTCTGTTGCAAGTGCCTTTCTGCTGCCATGAGTGGAGCGCTCAGGGGCTGCATCGCTGTTAAGTATTTTTGCAGCGGTGCAGTCGTGATTTGAACACGTTCCATCTCAAATGGCCAGTAAAACAGAAATGCACACGATGCAGGCTAATGCACTGCTGCAGAAATGTTTAACAGAGAGCAGGTCCCCATCAGGCCGTTAACCTCGAGGAGGGGCCATTGCCAAGGAATTAAAAGCCCTGGGCCTTCAGAGCAGGGGAAGAGGGTCAGATTGTCACATCTCCACCTCTGCTTGCAGTTGCTTCAAATAGCTTCTCAGCCTGCTTTCTCTAGGGTGAGCCCCATAGAAAGAGAGACGGATCCAGATCCAATATGTATCGAGGGCTGCAGCTGTCCAGGGGTGCACACATGTTGGTTTGGTGTGTCAGGGAGGGGCTGGGTGAGGGTGTGTGTGTATGTTCAGAGCCAGGGGGGTTGTCCATCTGTTTAGAGCAAGATCTGGAGCCAAGCAGCCACTGGAGACCCCTTCCCACTAAAAACAATGGCCTGAGTGAAGCAGCACTGCCTGTCCCTCTGGTGCAGTCTCGCTCTGCTGAGCCAGGCCCATCCATCAGCTGACAAAGTGCTGCCAGGTGTATTTGTGCAGATACAAAGCAACTAAATCTGGAACTGCCCATCAGTGATGAAAAGCACCTTGCTCACCTGTGCACGGAGCAGCACATGGGCTGGCAGGTCCATCTCTCTCAGTGGCTTGGAGGTTTGCAAACCGGCCTTTTGCCTCTTGGGGGTCAGTTAGCAGCCCCAGTTGAGAAGCCAGGTTTGAAGGAGCCAGGAAGCATCATGTATCCTCTAGAGCAGTGGTTCTCAACCTTTTATGTACCAGGACCCATTTGTAAGCATCGATGGCCAGTCCAGACTCAGTGCCTCTCATCCCGCCCTGTCCCCAGGACCCCAGTGTGTGTGTGA